AGTGGGACATACTACGAGCCAGCATACTCGGGACATAATCCATCGATGTCGATGCTGGGAAATTAGCTGCACCAGACGCTGCTAGTGTGTCAAACCCAACAGATGTGTCTTGTGTACTACCATACACATACTGTGTGACATCTGCATCCGGGGTCAATGTGGTCAGATAATATGTCCTTGTGGGTGGCTCAGTCGGAGGAACTGGCATCTATAAATCCTGGTGATCAACTCGCCTTCTTCAATGACTTAGCCCTTTTTCTTCTCGTCGACCTGCCCTAATGTGCTCCACCTCAGCTGCGTCTGCTTGTGCTAATGCTGCAGCTGGAGCCGGTGTAAAAGGGCCTACTCACCTCGTCTCGTAGCTTCTAGTAGTGGCCGATCCTCTCATGCATCATGGTAAAATTGAAAGACTGCCTATGTTATTCACTAGTTCCATGATACATGTGCTCCAAAACATCGGTCTACAAATAACATAATAAATATAATCAGAACACTAAATTTGTAAATATGTCACAAGTAATTATTTAAATAGATCCCTAGATTCGTACTCACCACATATCCTTCCTTTGCACTATAAGGAGAAATCCACCGTCTTGTATGTTTCCTATACCACACTATGTATTCTGAGCTATTGCTCAAGTGTGCAGCTTGAGTCCATACTCGATGAAATCGTGATTGCCACTCCTGCACAAATTGAACGTGCATGTGTGATCAGTCCGTGTTATCCTTGCCTCTCAACGAAAGATCATGCAATTTCTCCAGATGAATAGAGGCGCAAGAATGTGTTGGCCCATCCCAAATTGTCGCATGACATGATCTGCGTAATGATACTCGACGATGTGGAAATTAATCAATGGGACAGTTAACCTCCATACTTGTGAGTCCTCAAAACTGTAAGGAGGTAATGTAGGTAGTAACTCCAAGTATGGTTTCCATACAAACTGCAAAACAACATAACACATAATTAGTTAGCAATTATCATTTATAATTACAATCTTTTTATATAAATCTTTAATAAAATATTATAAATTAAGACTTACATCCTCACTTTTTAAACGGTCAAAATACTCTCTATATTTCAGAATTTTATCTTTTGTTTCCTCTCTAGGTTTATGCAAGGCATTATTCCACATGTTATTAAAAAAAACCATTAATACTTCAATATACAAATTAATTCTAAATATATTTATTCTTAAATCGATCATAAGTAATATAGTTAGTAACCTTGCCCCTAGAGGAACATGGAATGTAGATATAGGTGGATGAGGTGGTGCAAGAAATGGTAACCGATACCATGCCCATAATTGCACTAGAATACCTGAACCACCAATTTCCTTGTGATCATAATTCGTGCACATGCACAACTCCCTGTACATATTTGTCAGCATGCATGACCCCCAACTCATTTGACCACAAGCATCAAAGTCTTCTAGGAAACTTAGGTATCTGAGGGATACAAAGGAGCTAGAGTGATTAGTTAATAAATATCCCCTAATCATGCGTAAAATGAACGCTCTAGTATAGCATTCCAACTGTTCCTGGCTATGTATATGCTCATAAACTTTAGAAAAGTGTCGATCAATCCAGCTCATCCTCAATCGACCGCCAACAAGCATTGACTCAGGGGGTGTCATACCAAGAAGGTGTTGCACCAGAGCTGCCTAATCCATAGTTGCGTATCCAGTAATGGGTGCCCCAGAGATCTTCAACCCAAGTAACATTATAACATCCTCCAACGTGATAGTACACTCGCCAAACAGCATGTGAAACGTGTGGGTCTCTAGTCTCCATCGCTCAACTAACACAGAAATTAAATGATTGTCCACAGGAAAGTAACTGATCTGCGCCACCCCATAAACCCAGCCCTCTGTAGAAGATCCTGAATAGCAGCTAGAATCTCAACACCACACAACTCTGATTATGTTGCTCTCCTAACCTTCAAAACCCTATCTTCAGCTCCATTCCATATATGCTCAGATATATGGAATGGTTGAAGCCTTAATAACGAATCGTCAATAAGTCCTACATGAATTATTTGTGTAGACATCCTGATACAATTAAACAAACAAACAAACATAATATTAAACTCAAGAACACATTACTTATAAATACACGAAATAAATTAAAAAATATTATAAATACACAAAATAAAAAAAAAACTATTCACTAAAGTAGGCTCAAAATTAAAATTGAAAAGAGAGCTAATGATGGAAAACTTGGTTGGAAATCCGGATAGATGTTGAATTCCCTTCAAGCTCCTCCCTAGATCTTGGACTCCTTGATTCTTCCTAGGCTTGGTTAAGGTCTCCTATGGAGGAGGAGGCCTTAAGACCACCACGGTTGGTGGAGAAACTCTCCCAAGAGGCGCCACTCCTTGAAGAAGAGATAAGCCCCTTCAATTCTCACCACACTCTTCTATGGAAGGGATAAGAGAATTGGATAGTATAACAGAGGTTTAGGGACTTTTAGAAGAGAGAAAATCTGAACACAATTCAGAATATACAATCTCAATTAATCCAAAAGTGTCTTACAAGGTAAGGTTTACAAGTATATAGGAGGAGGAAGCTTAGAGAGCAAGCTAGCTTTAACCATGGTTCACTAGGAACCATGGTTTAGTCTAGCTAAACCGTCCAAGTTAAGAGGCTTGGAGAGCAAGAGAGGCTTGGAGAGCAAGCTTCTCTCTTAGCTTGCTTGGTAAGCTTGCTAAGGAGAAGCTTGTGCTTCAAGCTTCCAAGCTTGAGAAGCACCAAGCTATTCGGCCAAGTGTGAACACAAGTGTGAACACATCTAGGTGGGCGGCTCTTTGGATTTATTTTACTCCAATTCGTTTTGAAATTATTAATTTGATTTAGTTAGGTTCATCCAATGTGAATGGAACCTAGCTAAATCAAATCTATGAAAAATTAGGAGTAAAATGAGTCCAATATGTAAATTTTAGCCTAGGACCACCTTTTGGCTAAATTGCTAATAACACTCTCTAGCTTACTAATGGCACTCTCTAGGTTGCTAATGCCACTCCCAATCCTACTACTAGAAAACTAAGAAAAGAGTGTATTTCTAGGTTAGGTTAAATGGAGTCAAAGTGCCCAAGTAACCTACCCTAGAAACAATATACAATAGTTACTAAAAAGGAAATAAAGTGACTCACAAATACAAAGGCAAAAATATACCTATACAAGTATCTACTATATACAAAGTACAAGAAATCAACTATACAAGTATGTACAATGGAGAATCCTTAGATCAACCGTCACCCTTCTTGGTCTTACCTCTTCCAAAGGGATCCTTGGGGATTAGATTTCCATCAGCTAATTTTGAGACATGTGTTGCTGACTCTGATGAGAAGGCACGCGTAGTGTCTCAGTTTTGCTTAGTTCTGCTTAGTTTTGGTGATTAGTTTTTAAAAAAAAAATTTGTGTAATTTTACTTTTTCTTATTTATTTCAGCCAAAAAGCCTCCTTCATGAGTACAATCAGAACGGCCCGTTCTCAATGCACTAAAGGTGTCTTAAATTCGGATCCGGAACAAGCTGTTCTGAAAGCATAACGGGTCGTTCTGATCCCTTTCATTTTTGCGTTAAGTATGCAACCAGAACGGCCCGTTCTACTTTCACAACGGCCCGTTCCAGATCCATAATACCTAACAATATGTGCAACAAGAACGGCCTGTTCTGTAATCCAGAATGGACCGTTCCAGACACAGAAACCCTAAACGAATCAAACCATTACATTTACTATTTTAATAATTAATTTAAAAATTAAATAAATAAACGAAAAGTAATACTTACTTGAATCAGTGAAACGAAGAAGGGATTTGGGAAGAAATAATCAGAGTGCAAGGGGTGGATGCATTTTTTTAAAATTCATTTACCCCCCCTCCCCCCCGCGTCCACTTGCATTTTAATAGAGAAGAATGAGGCACTTGAACATGGCGCCTGGGGGGAGGCGCTCCATGTAATCCCACGTGTAGGTCACACAAGGTGCCTGGGGGGGAGGCGCTATGCCACGTCTCACTACAGTGTTAAGATGGCGCCTCGGGGGAGGCTCCATTTCAAAAACGCCTGACCTCCCTGCTCTTTCTATTTGAGTTCCACGTTAGCCACAGATGGCACCGGGGGGGATGAGGCTCCATTTGAAAAACACTCAACCCCCCTGCGTTTTATGTGCCACGTGTTATCCCATGTGTCCAAAACTACCTATTCTGGTAATTATTTTTTTAATTTATTTTGTGTATTTTTAATTTTTTTTTATTCATCTAGGCCAAAAAGCCTAAGCATTCATTGTAATGAATATTGATGTTGTACAAAGACTTATATGTATTTAATGTAGATTTTTCTTTTAAAAAAATCCTTCTTTCTTTTGCCTATATTATATATATACATATATATATATATATATATGTATATATATTTAAAATAATTACTTATATTAAATATTTAAAATTTAATAATTTTTAAATATTTATATTTCATAATAATAATTAAAATATTATTATGAGAAATATTATAAATAGAGTTTTTTTAATGTAATTATATATTGCTATTTTAGTTTACTGAAAATATTGTAATAAAAATTTTAATGTATTATATAAAAATATTGTACTTAATCTCTATTTATTTTAAGATATATTAACTAAAAATTTGGACTATTATTTAATAATAAAATAATAATAATAAAATTGAAAACATTATAATATTATATAAAAATATAGAATATTATGCTATACTGACATTTTATTTTATTATTGTCTACATAACACATTCTTATTACCATTTTTTATTATTAAGTTTTGATAAAAATTCATAGATAGAAGAGATTCATGACATAACTTGCAAAACTTCTAAACTGTATGATTTTTAATAAAATCCAGTGATAAAAAAAAGTGTAAAGGGAATTCATCTTTATACATTTTATGATGTTTTCGCACGGCAAATAAGTATAAATAACTAAATAGATTTTTTAATATAAAATAAATAAAATAAAATCTTAGATAAACCCTGATAGATATTCTTCCACAAACGCAACAAATAGCCCTGAAGTTGTGATGAACGGCCATACCCAAATTCTTCAATCAAGACACCACTTGTCCTAATTCAGGTACTTTCTTCCTATTTCATGGCTATTGGGTCCACATTGTAGCGGTAGTAGCAACAAGTTTCTCACATCTCTTCACACAGAACCACAAAGGTTTCATCATTTCACCACCCTTATCCCAAAGTTTTTTTCTTTTTTTTGGTTGGGTTTTCTCGTTCTTAGCTGTAGCAGATTTTAAGGATTGTTTGAAAGGGTTTTTGCAGCCATTAGTATTTGTCTAGTCCCATTTGGAGGACCAACAGAACATACAAGGTTGTTCTTTTTCTTGTTGGAAAAAAAAAATGCCAACTTTGATTTCACCTAGGTTTCTTTTGCTTGTTGGAGAGTCACTCCACATGAGAAGGGCTTTGGCCACTTCTAGGTCTGTTTTGTTGCACACTAGTGTCAATTGCATGAGCCAGGTGGAACCCCATCATGGTTCCCTCACCCTCTCTAGTGTTGGTTTCCAACCTGAAATTGAACCTAGGAACATAAGCAAATCAGATAAGGTTAAGCCATTGGGTTCTCCCTCTGAGGCTCTCAAGAGCAAAGGAAAGCCCTTTGACATTAACAAGAAGAAAGCTATTAGGGTTGTGGAGAAACAGAAAATTGAGTTTGCCCCTTTTGCGGCAAAGTCATTTTCGGAACTAGGCCTCCCTCATGTGTTGATTGATAGACTAGAGAAGGAGGGTTTTGCCGTTCCAACCGAAGTTCAGTCTGCTGCAGTTCCCACCATTCTGAACAACCATGATGTCATAATTCAGTCTTACACGGGTTCAGGGAAGACACTAGCTTATCTGCTTCCCATACTCTCGGTTGTTGGTCCACTGAGGAACAAAATTCCTGAAGATGGTGGTGATGGTGATGGTGGTGAGAGTGGGAAGAAGTTGGGGATTGAAGCAGTGATTGTTGCTCCTTCCAGAGAGCTTGGAATGCAGATAGTGAGGGAGTTTGAGAAGGTGCTAGGAATGGATAACAAGAAAGTAGTTCAGCAGCTTGTGGGAGGTGCGAATCGAACTAGACAGGAAGAAGCTCTCAAGAAAAATAAACCCGCCATTGTTGTTGGCACGCCAGGTAGGATAGCAGAGCTCAGCGCATCTGGGAAACTTCGCACTCATGGCTGTCAATATTTGGTATTAGATGAAGTTGATGAACTCTTGTCGTTCAATTTTCGGGAAGACATGCACCGGATATTGGAGCATGTAGGGAGGAGATCAGGTGCGGACCAGAACACAAATTCTAGAAAGGCTGAGAGACAATTAATTATGGTTTCTGCAACTGTGCCATTTTCTGTTGTAAGGGCAGCTAGGAGCTGGGGTTGTGACCCCTTTCTTGTTCAAGCTAAGAAAGTTGCCCCACTTGAGACTGTCTCTCCCTCTGAGCCAGTCAATTTGTTGCGGTCTTCACCAGGCTCGAGTCCTAGCTCATCTATGCCATCTCAGGTAGCAGTAGAGAGTCTACCTCCTGCGCTGAAACATTACTACTGTGTAGCAAGGTTGCAGCACAAAGTTGATGCATTGAGAAGGTGTATTCATGCACTGGATGCCAAATTTGTGATAGCTTTCATGAACCACACTAAGCAGCTAAAGGATGTTGTTTTCAAGCTGGAGGCTCGTGGGATGAAAGCTGCTGAGTTACATGGAGATCTTGGGAAGCTTGCGAGGTCAACCACTCTGAAGAAATTCAAGAGTGGTGAGTTGAGAGTCATGGTGACAAATGAATTATCTGCAAGGGGTTTGGATGTGGCAGAATGTGATCTTGTGGTTAATCTAGACTTACCAACAGATTCAATTCATTATGCACATCGAGCTGGCCGAACTGGTCGGCTTGGTAGGCATGGTACAGTGCTGACCATATGTGAAGAACCAGAGGTGTTTGTTGTGAAGAAATTACAGAAGCAACTTGGAATACCGATTGCATCCTGTGATTTTACAGATGGGAAGCTACTTGTCACTGAAGAAGAGAAAACAGTAAGCAGTTCCAAAAGATGATGTGTTATAGTTTTGCTACTTGTTTAATTGAGTATGTAGTTTTGATGTTCCATGCTTTTATTCTTCGTATTGCTACATACTTATTATACTTATTGACAACTCATACTTGAATGCACATCAGAAGCATGCCTTGTATTTTATAATTTAAGTTGAGTATACCGATAAGTGCAGTTGATATTTGTTTCACAACTACTGCTTGCAGATTCAATTAGTTATCACTCTACAGGATAGAGTTTTTGCCTTAATATTTATGAACAACTAAAGGCACAAATTAGTTTGGAAAACACGTTTTCTATGAAATCAGCATTTTTTTTTGTTCTTTTTCTTTTCCAGTTTTAATGTATGGAAAACATTTCGGTCACAGAAAATTGTTCTTCTGGTGAACAGAAACAAAATGGTGAGAAATAGTAATTAGCAAGGAAGAAGGAATATAGTTGTGATGTGATGTGAGGGCTTAAAAAAAGTGACTGCAGTCAGGCGCTGGAAGGAGAGAATTATAATTAGTAGTATGATGCTATGAGTTAGCACAACGAATGGAGTACTAATATATATATATATATATATATATCAATCAGAGAGATTTACTTATTTTAAGAGTAAGATTATCTAGATTTACTTCACTCAATAATTCATGTTTTATAGTAAATCTTTATGATCTAACCATTAAATTAAAAGTTTTTAATACATAAATTAAGTTTGTAAATTTTTAGAAAATTTAAAAATTATTTAATAATATTTTATTAATTCAAATTAATGTATAAAATATTTTTATGATTTTCTGTTAATTTGAATTAAATTGGAATATCAAATGGATCCCTTTGATTCACACACAATTAAAAAGAAGGTAAAGGGATTAAAAAGGATGAGTGACCAAGTGAGCAGGAGACAAATATAGACTATACTAGTGGACACGCAAGAAAAAGATGGTGCAATGCAACTATGCAAGTAAATAAGCACAAAAATAGGCCATTGTGTTAGCAGAAAAATTTATACAAAAAAAAATGAGAGGGTGAATTATTGAAATTATGAACCCCTAGTCTGTAACCGTAAAGGATTAAGGTTGTCTTACAAAAATCTTGTATTATGTTTGGATAGAAAAAGGAGGTTGAAAATCTTGTAGGAAATAAAAGTACAAATAAGGGAGTTCATTAGAAGGTGGAGCTTGAGGTTGAAGATTCAAATAAAGAAAATTTGAATCCTATGGAATAATCCAGTAATGTCCAAGAAGAGCCTCAAAGCATAGCAACAAGGAGAACAAGGAGGGAAATCAGAAAACTCGTGAGGTATGCAGATGTTACTAATGTTGTTGATACTAACTATGTTGTGTATGCCTTGGTAGTTGGTGAAAATCTTATTCTGATGAGCCTAAATCCTATAAGGAGGAAATTCAAAGTAAAGAAGCATCAAAATGGTTAATTGCCATGGATGAGGAGATGTAGTCACTTAAGAAAAATCAAACCTACAAGTTAGTACCATTACCTAGAGGTGTGAAGCTAGTGAGATCCAAATGGGTGTTAAAAAAGAAAGAAGGGATTCCTAGTATTGAACCATCCAGGTTTAAGGCAAGACTTGTGGCAAAGGGTTTTTTACAGAAAGGGGGAATTGACTACCATGAAGTGTTCTCACCTGTGGTAAAACATAAGATTATTCGAGTTATGCTCGCTATTGTGAGTGCTTTGGATATGGAATTAGATAAGCTTGACGTGAAAACTGCATTCTTGCATGGAAATTTAGAAGAGCAGATTTACATGTCACAGCCAGATGGATTCCTTGAGGTCAGAAAAGAAAACCATGTGTGTTTGCTGAAAAAATCCTTGTATGGTTTAAAATAGAGCTCGAGGTAGTGGTACAAGAGGTTCGATACTTTTATGGTTTCCTATAATTTTGTTCAAAATGAGTTTGATAATTGTGTTTATAGTAGGAAGCTATCAGATGGTTCCTATATATAATTGTTGTTGTATGTGGATGACATGCTAATTGTAGCTAAGAGCAAGACTGATATTGATGTTGTTAAAACTATGTTGAGTAGTGAGTTTGAGATGAAGGATTTGGGTGTGACCAAGAAGATTTTAGGAATGGAGATTTGGAGAGACAAGAATGTAGGTATACTTTATGTATCTCATAAGAAATACATTGAAAAGTTGTTGCGATCTTTTCAAATGGAGAATTCTAGGCCTGTTAATACTACTTTGGCAACACATTTTCAACTTGATGCTAGCACTCTTCCTAGTACTTATGAAGAGAATGAGTATATGAATGAGGTTCTTAACTCTAGTGCTATTGGGAGCTTAATGTATGTCATGGTTTGTACAAGACCAAATTTGGCTCATGCTATGAGTGTGGTTAGTAGATTTATGAGTAATCCTAGAAAGGCTCATTGGGACGTTGTGAAGTAGATTATGCGATATTTGAAAGGTACTAGTAATATTTATTTAGTTTATGGTTCTAATGATATTAGGTTGGTCTTATTGACTATGCAGATTCTGACTATGGTGGAGATCTCGTGAGGAGAAAATCTTTGACATGTTATATCTTCACTCTTTATGGTTATGCTATTAGTTAGAAAGCAACACTTCAACCTACTATTGCTTTGTCTACCACTAACGTGGAATACATGTCCTTGACAGAAGGGGTTAAAGAAGGTATACAGTTGCAAGGTCTTATTGATAGCTTGGGTTTGAATGTGCAGAGACGTATACTTTATTGTGATAGTCAAAGTGCCTTGTGCTTGGCAAAAAATTCGGTCTATCATGAAAAATCAAAGCATATTGATGTTAGATTGAATTTCATACGAGATGTAATTGAAGAAAAATTGTTCTCCATAGAGAAGATAGCTATTATAGACAATCTGGTAGATATGTTGACTAAGCCTTTGTCTTCTGAAAAGTTTAAGCATAGCTTGGACTTGGTGAATGTTCGCATCACTTGAGATCCTTCAGGGAGAATAGGCAAGAGAGTTGAGTTGTTCTTGGTTACCGGTGACTTGGGAAAAATTCAAGTCAAGATGGAGATTTGTTGAGATGTGTTGAATTCATATTTTTTCCTTCACTATTTCATATGTTATTTGGGTTGTAATGGGGTATTAAGGAGCTGTTATATTTTATCCTTGATTAGTTCATGGGTTGTCATCATCAAAAAGGGGGAGATTGTTGAGCTTAGGGGAGCTGAAGACTTTAAGAGTTTTGATGATCACAACACCTTGGAGACAACAAGTTTGAGGGATGGTTCCCCTCCTTAGCCTTATACTTGTTACATATTCAAATAACAGAACCTTTATGCAGATAACGACAACAAAAGCCTTATCCCACCAGGTGAGATAAGGTTTTATCCTTTATCCAGATAAAAGAACAAAAATCTGTTATGTATGATGATTCAGTCTTGAAGTTTGTGGTTCAAGTTGTTTGTGACCACAAATTCTGATATTTGTAAGAGTAATTGCTGCCATGAATTTTAGTCTCTGTAAAATATGATGATTTTTTATTTTAGTACCTGTAAATCGTGGTTTCTGTTTTTAGTCAGCATAACCTGACAGCCACGTAAATGGGTTTTGACCTGTCCTCATGTTGTGGACTAAAGCAGGTGATGGCAAACATTGTAAGGACTAAAGTAACAAAAAGTGCTATATTTGCAGGAAGCAATAACAAATATTTTTTAAAGACCTCTTAAAACTGGAAGAAAAGATTCTGTTGCGTGTGCAGATTATTAGGTAAGCATGCTAAGATGTCTAATGTTATAATGTTAAGTTTGCAGGATTAGACATAAGACATTATAAGGGGTTAAACTAAACTCTCTTCCAAGGATTTTCCAGTCTCAGGGGTTTCCCCTTTCACACAAAAAACTATCAAATTCATATAATGAATCCCTCTAATCTGATTTCCTCTGCTTATTATTTAACCAATCCCCTCTCACTAACCGACCATCAATTAACTAATGGACCGACTGTTGTTGTAACAATATGCAGCAGGATAATAGTAGTATTGCAAACAACGATTAACTTTTCAAAGTATGATGTTATTCCTAAGCTATTCTTAGTGGTAGCATGAAAAGCAAAATCTTGAATTTTTGAATTGGAACAAGTTGATAATGCAAAATAAGGTAAGAAAACTTTGTAGGCTAATATTCAATTAGAAATAGTAGGACCTTGCAAGTACATTGTATTTTGTTCTTTTTGAAAAAAAAAAAAATTGAGCCTGAAGTAAAAGGAATAGTGAGGCTTAAGATATTATTACCCAATATGAATGAAATTTGACCTCCCCTCTATGGTGTGGTGTCCCTAAGTTTATTTATTTATTTGTTATTAATATGAAGCATTTATTGCTTTGTTGACTAATAATTTTTTGTTGAAGAATCCGACTAATCATTTGTAATAGAGTTTTTCTTTCTAATTACGTTTTTTTTTAAGGGGTCTGAATGTAGTACTACTCAATTTTTATTAAGAGAATCCTAAATTAAGTCCTTGCCAATGTGGGCACAGCCTTGAACACTCTCAGCAGAATTAACAGCTAGATACATAATTACAACACAATCAGTTTTACTTGAGCAAATTCCATCCTATCTCTCACACTATTCCTCTCATCCTCAACATTCAATATGCATATATAAGATCCAAGAAAATCTATTAAAACAAAAGAAGCAAGTAAAACATAAATTTTAGATGGTTCCAATATTTTCATTTCTATTCAAGGTAAAACCGCACTTGGCACCTAAAGTTTAGTGTGGTGGCTTTCATTATTAAATATTTCAAATTGTGAGAACATGGATAAAGGAATGTGTTTCAAGTACCCAGTAAGTATCAATCATTTAAGGGTGGTATATATGTATTCCATATGTACATGTTTGCTACTAGGATTAATTAAGGTAACCACTAACTTCAATAGGGTGGTATATATATGCATATCTTTGTGTTCTCCATTTATAATGTTTTATTATTGCAATCTAGCACCAATATTCCTAAAATCCTCATAACAGAATTGGTTAGGCTGAAATATCATTCTTATGTTTTTAGGATAATAGGTATTTTAAATTTAATTAATCTGTTAAAATAATATATATATATATATATATAATGAAATGATGTTTAAAATTAGTAGAATTGCACGTAATTGTAATCAATTTAGGTAAAATCTTAGGGATGTTTTTCTTGCTCTTGTTCACTAATTCTAAATCGAGTGGACCTTGATTATTTGGTC